CGCCGGCTCCTTCCTTCCTTCGCCCGGCCGTCCGCTCCTTCCAGGCGAGCCCAGGCGCCTCCTCCGCCTCCGCCTCTCGCCCGCCAGGGAGGCGTCGTCGGGCCGGGTCGGCGTCGAAGCGCCTCCTCCTCCTCCTCCTCCTCCGGCCGGGCTCCTCCGACGGCGCTGGGCGGCGGGGGGGCAGCCGGGGCCGGGCGGCCGAGGGGCGCCGCCGCCGCCGCTGCTGCTGCCGCTGCTGCTTCTGGCGCAGGTGGGTCGCTCGTGCGGCTGCTTTCGCTTTCGCGGGCGGGGCTCCTCCTGCCCTGGAAATGGGGGGCGGAGGGGGGGCTCGGCGGTCCCGGGTCTCTTTGGGAGAAGCCCCCCCGCCCACCTGGGCAGGGAAAGGGGGGCGCATCTTTTTTGGGGGGGCTCTCCCTGCGCTCCACCCCCCGCTTTTACTACCCGGGAAGGGGGTTCCGCAGGGGACCCCCCCTCTCCTCCTCGGGACGGCAGGCTGGAAGCCTCGGGGGTCCCCGGCGGGAGCATCCCTCGGAGCGCCCCCGGGCGGCCCTTTGGGGAGCGGAGCAGCCTGAATTGAGGGGGGAGGGGAGGGAAACGGGGCGACCCCCTCCGGGCTGGGAGATTCTCCCCCCCCCCAGCCCATCAAAGCGAGAAAGCCTTGCAACTGGGGAGAGTTGGGGGGGGGAGAGCAGGCTTGGCTCCAAAAACAGCTGCCCCACATCTGGAGGCTCCCGACTTCCAAGGAGGAGGCCCGGGGTCTCTCTCTCTCTCTCTCTCTCTTTTGAGGGGGGGGAGAGAGAATGCAAAATGGGGCGAGGTGTTGATTATTTTATTCCTTGGGATAGTTTTAATGGTTGGGTCCTTTTTTTTGGAATGGGGAATGGGGTAGTAGGAAGGGAAAGGGATCAGTGAGAAAGGAAAGGAATTTGCTTTTGGGGTGGGGGGCTGTTGATCAGGATGGGGCAGCCCCAAACTCACAGGCTTGCAATGCTTTGGGGACTCCAAAGACTTGTTGGGAGCAACCACAAAGCCCATGGGGCTTTCTCCTGGCTTGCAAATCGGTGGCTATTTGCTTTGTTTGTTTGTTTTCCCCCCAAACCTTTTGAGTTAAAAGTGGGGGGGGGGGCAACTATGGCCGCTTTAAGACATGTGGGACTTCACTTCCCAGAATTCCCCAGCCAGCAAAGCTGCCCGGAAGCCTCTTCCCAGCCAGGAAAGCAAACATGGGCTGGGGAATTCTGGGAGTTGAAGTCCCACAACTTTTGTAAAGCGGCCAAAGTTGGGACAACCTTGGATTAAGCTGAGATCTGAAAGAGAGAGACACCATCCTGGCTTCCCATCCTGGCCAGATTGCTGGGCGGCAAAAGGCGGCTGTTTCCTAGAAGCTTATCAGAAATCTTGCTTGGGGGTGTGGGGGGGGGGCCCTTTCCTCACAGCCAGGCCTGGCCTGCCACGGCACAGGCGCCCAGTCTGGGTTGCAAGCTTGCTTTGCCCGCAGCGGGGGTGGATTGGTGCCAGGAGAAGCTGGGGGGTGCCCGGGCGACTCGGAGGGAGGGTGGGTGGCCCTTAAAAAGAGGGATCTCCCATCTTGCCAACTTTTAAGGCTTGTGGCCTTCAACTCCCAGGATCCTATGGCTGGGGAATTCTGGGAGTTGAAGTCCACAAGGGGCCAAGTTTGGAGACCCCACCCCACCCCGATTTAAGAGAACGACCCCTGCACTTGGGAGGGGGGAGGCTGTCCTGTTGTATCCCACGCGAGAAGGGAGGGGCAGATGGGTGGCGGAGTTGCCACCTGCAGAAGTTAGGACAGGGGTCCCCAAACTCGGCCACTTTAAGACGGGTGGACTTCAACTTCAACAGGATCCTATGGCTGGGGAATTCTGGGAGTTGAAGTCCTCGGGTCTTAAAAGGGGCCAAGGTGGGAGATCCCTGGCTTAGACCTCTCTCTGCTCCAGCAGAAACGTTTCTGAGACAAACCCGGGTTCAAGACAAGGCACAATGGATGGGGAGCTCCCTTCCTTAATCTCTCGAATTCGGCTTTGGTTTGGCACTGCAGGCCTGGCCTGGCCTCGGCTTTTTCCTGGGGGGGGGGGGAGACTCTGTTGAAGGAGGCCAAGCTGTGGGAGAGAGAGAAATGTCAGAGTTGGAAGGGGACCCTGGAGGTCTTCTAGTCCAACCCCCAGCTCAACAAGGAGATCCATGTCCTGGGATCCGATCTCTTTCCTCAAACAGCTCATTTCTGGTATTAGAACAGAGGTCCCCAAACTTGGCCACTTTAAGACTTGTGTGTGGACTTCAACGGCCAGAATTCTCCAGCCAGCAATGTGTTGCTGGCTGGGGAATTCTGGGAGTTGGAGGCCACAAGTTGTTGCTGTCTGGGGAATTCTGGGAGTTGGAGTCCACGCAAGTCTTAAACCTGACAAGTTTAGGGACCTCTGTTCTAGAGAGACGCAGGCTCCCTTCCAAGGCTTTGGAGGCTGCCCGGGGTGCATTGAACGTGCGTGTGTGTGTGTGTGTGTGTGTGTGCGCGCGTGTGTATAGTCCTTTGCTCTCTCCACCCTCTCCCCACCCGCGGCCATGCCTGCTGACCAGGCGCCTTTCATAACAAGGGGAAGTTTGGGAGGGCCCTTCCTTCCACAGGGCCAGTTTAAGGGGGGGGGAGAAGCCATTGTGCATTTCAAAGCGCACACACACACACACACACACACACACAAGATTGCTGCTGGGGGGTTGTGTGTTGGCGAGAGCCTCCTATTTTTGTTGTGCTGCTTTGTTGTCCCTTCCTGCACCGGGCGGGAGGCTGAAGAGCTGCAGCCACCGACACCCCTTCCCCACCTGGGCTCTTCATGGTGGCCGCTTCTCTCCTCGTCCCCCAAGGAGGCAGGCCGCCTGCCTGCCAGACTCCACAGAGATCCTCGCCTCTGTGACAAGGGAGCCGACTTATGTAACTTCGGGCTGCGTCATGGGCGTAGCTCTGCTTTCCATTCCTCTGTGTGTGTGTGTGTGTGTGTGTGTGTGTGCTCATTGCATGGGAACGCCAGAGAGACTTTTGCAAGAATCGGGGGGGGGGGGGGGGGGGGGCCCCCCCCGAGCGGTGGGGCACTTTAAGCCAGGTGGGTTTTTCAATCAGAACAGGAGCTGGAAGGGACCTCTGGAGGTCTTCTAGTCCAGCCCCCTGCTCAATCCCCAGTACCACTCTGGACACGTGGGCTGTCCAGTCTTTTCTGAGAAACAGCTTTTCTGAGAAACAGAAAAACAGTGGCAAGCTGTTCCACTGGTTAATTGTCCTCCTCGCTGTGAGGGAATTATCTCCTTTATTCCGGGGTTGCTTCTCTCCTGGATCAGTTCCCATCCGTTGCTCCTTGTCCTGCCTTCAGGGGCTTTGCAGAATTAGTGGAGCCCCCTCCCTCAAATACACTGGAATGCTGCTATCGTGCCCCCCCCCCCCCCCCCGCCCCTCCTCCTCTCCAGACTGGCCAAACCCAAACCCTGCGACCGTCTTCGCCTCCCGGCCTTCAATCTCCTCCTCGTTGCTCTCCCCTGCCTTTGGGGTCTTGGCCAAAGCCCCAAATGCCAAGGTGGGCCCTCCCCGGGAGGCAGGGGCCAGGGGCCGCGGAGAAGCCCTAGCTGGGGCCAGGCTGGGAGGGCGCTGCCCACCCGTCTGCCGCCTCGGTTTCCCAGGGACCCCTGGCCCGCCGAACGTCAGCGGTGTGGCGCCTGGGAGGAAGCGTGGTGCTGAGTCATTGGCAGGCTGGGCACACAGATAGACCGAGAGCTGGGGGCCCCGTGGGGGCAAGAAGCTCGGGCACCTGCTGCCACGGCATGAAGTTTCGGCTCCTTGTAGCGTCTCTCCGGTTGGTTTGGGGCCCTTTCCCCCCCCTTTTTTTGTTTTGTTTTGCAAGGATGGTGGCCATGCCTGGCCACTGAAGTGTCCCCCCCCCCAAGGGGAGGGCTCTTCCGTGTCTTGGTCTCCCTTCCACCCCCCTGATCCCCCCCAGTGCATAAATGTCCCGTTGAGGCTCCGTTGGGTCTCTCCCGGTTAAGCCTGTCCCTCCAGCCCACCGGCTGAGCTCGGTCTCTGAGATAGTCTCCGAAAGGCAAAACCCGGGTTCGGGATTCTCCACTCGCATGGAGAGAGGTGTAGTGGTCACAGCAGGGCTCAGGGCCCCTTGGGAGGAGGGGGAGGCTCTGGACCTCGTTCCTTGGGCGGTGAAACTGAAGGGCTGCCCTCTCGTTCTGACCCGGTGGGCAAGAGTGGCGCTCCTTATCAGCGGGCCCAATTTCTGGAAAGATTGGCATCGGGGCAACACGTGAGCGTCTTCACACCTTCTGGTGCTGGTTGTGGGAAGTGCGCAACTTGTGGTTTGTGAGCCTCGGGGTAAGGGCTTAGTGTAAAGTAGGTCATTGAGATGCCTTTGATTGGGAGGGGGGCGCTTTGCACGGGTATGAGCAAGCGAGGAAGCGTGCACACACACACGCACGCACACACAGAGAGAGAGACAGGGACTGTATAAACACAGCGTGGAGAAAGAGAGAGAGAGAGAGGAGTAATCTATTGATTTTCATCTCACTCGGGCATGTCCAAATGTGCCCGACTTGCTTAAGAGAAAGGTGAAAGCGCCGTGTTGGCGGGTGTGGGCTTATTGGTGTGCACACACACCCCCGAAAGCTGCCTGCACTTCAGCTTCTCCGAGTCTAGTCTCCAGGGGAGCAAACAGGTACTCTGTGCGCTGCCACACAGCGGTTGGGACAGCGACACACACACACACACACACACACACACACACACACACGTCGGTTGCCTTGTTTTGTTTTGCTTGGGGGGGGGGGGGGGGGGGGGGGGAAACTTCTGGCCCTCGGGAAGACTTCCTCAAGGTGACTCCCCGACCGGCCCACGCTTGTGGGTGAGGAAGGCCTTGGGCCTGCTTGCACGAGGATGGCAGTGTGGGGCGGCACACCGAACGAGGCTTCCGGTTTCAGCGGTGATGCCTGATGATAAAACAAGCCGTTGTGCAGGAGGGAGAGAGAGAGTGGGGGGCTGAGAGCCACCTCTGGGCTGGGAACTTTGCAAAGTTTCAGGCTCCTAAATTGTACCCTGTGGCAGAGCCAAGGCTGGGTGGGGTGTTTTGCACACCCAACAAGACCCCCTCAGCACTTGGGGGGTGGTGGTTTTCTTTTGCATGCATGATGGTCCTCAGAAGATGAAGCTAGCGGTGGAATATTCTGCAAGTGGGTGTGTAGAATGGGTCTTTCCCCCCCGACTACCATTCAGACATGCAGGACCGGGCGATTTGCAGGCTTAAATCTGGCGTGTGCAAAGAGGAGAGAATTCCATTCTGTGTTTGAGAGTTAGAGCAACCAATGGAAGGGTTTTTGCCTCCAGAAGTTGTGGTGTCTGGAGGTTTTGAAGAAGAGATTTGTCCAGAACGCTGTAGTGTCTCCTGGTTGAGCAAGGGGTTGGGCTAGAAGACCTCTGAAGTCCCTTCTAACTGTTGTTCTGTTCTGTTTAGGGAAGGCAGAGGCTTAGGTGAGGCAGAGAGGATCGGCCGTGGAGAGTCGCCCAATCTAGCATGGCGAGGAGAAATGGGAACACAGGTTTCTCTCGGTTTAATCAACATTGCTCAACCTTGCCCACTTGAAGAGGGCTGAACTTCAGTTCCCAGAATTCCCCAGCCAGGTAGACTGCCAGGGTTGAAATCCACTGATCCTCAAGTGGTCGAGGTTGAGAAGAAACCCGGGTTGAATCCGTCCGTAGGTCCAAAGAGTGCGATGTTGGAGTAGATCCCATTGGCGAAAAAGGAAAATGCTAAGTTAGCAAAAACTGCTTTGGCGGCTTCCTTTCTGGTTTGCCTTCCTGCTTCTCCTTCCACCTCTCAGCGGCATGGCGGCTGTCTAGGAAGGCTGATGGGAATCTCTCTCCCTCCTTGCTCTCGCTCTCTTCCCCAGGACCTGTTAGGTCATGTCTGAAGAACGTTGTACCCGCCTGCTGCCGGAGTTCGTAAAAGGGCCCGTAGGCGAGCCTGGCCCCTCCTTGGGCCTTACGCCCATGGGCAGAACCGGCTTTTGGAGATCTTGCTAAAGGTCCTTGAGATGGCTTATGTGCGTTGGTCAAGTTGGGTCGAGGAGAGGAGGACCCTGGTACGCATCCAAGAATGGTCCGCAGAGCTAACCAGTCAGACTAGTTGTAGACTCTTTGTAGCTCGAGGTTGAACTATGGAGTCTATGGAGCTCTCTGAGCTTGGTGAGCATCTTGCAGACGTTTCTTGACCCTGCTAGGTAACATTATCAGTGCTAGAAGAGAGTGGGGTTTGCTCTCTGTTTGTATACAAGTGGCTTGCCCCATCCGTTTGGTGGGGGTGTTCTGGGTAGTTCCTTCGTTAATTGTTGTTTACTGAACTGGTTATATGTCTACCAGTTATACGTCCCCATTGAATGCCCCATGTGAGACATAGGGTGATGGTATCTTGCTCATTGGGTTCCTCCATGGGCTGTCCTTTTCCCAACATGACCCCTGGACTGACCTTCTCCAAGGTCAGCTTCCTGGACTGACCTTCTCTGCTCTTTGTCCTGAATCAGTCAGCAAGATCCTCAGACCTTTTCTCTTCTCTTTTTCTCTGTCTGGTCCTCGTTTCCTTCGCAGAACCCCTGGAGACCTCCAGACTCGGCCATGAATGGACACACTGTCCCGTCAGGCGACTCCGGGCACCCTGGCGGGTGGAACGAATTCTGCAAGCAGCACGCCATCGCCACTGCCCGAGAACTGGCCAGGGAGTACCTCCACTTCGTCAGCGAGAACCCCCAGCACGAAGTCTTGGCCGTGGAGAACTTCTCCCTTCAGTTTGCTGACCTCTTCCAGCAGTACTTCCGCCACGAGGTGAAGGACACGTACGGTACGGAGCAGTTCCGCATCCTGCCCTTCAGCAGAGTGCGGGACTACCGGGAGACGGGCCAGAAACATGCGGAGGGGTCCCCGGTCACGGTTGGGACCAAGGCCGAGGTGGAATTGTTGGACCAGGTCAACCGGGTCTCTGAGGTCCGCTCCGGTGGACTTCCCAAGTCTTGGAGTTCTGAAGAACTGGCGGCACCGGCCTCTCCGTTGGCCGTCAGGAGGCCCTTTTCTCTGGACCGGCTACGGCGGAGCTGGCGGAGCTTGTTCCGCCGGAGATCCTCGGAGCCGGGCCCTGGCGAAGGGGAGATGGCGGACTTGGTTCTGAGATCCGGCTTGGCCCGGAAGATCTTCCCATGGGCCATTTCCAGAGACTGCGCCTTGCAGATCCAGAAAGAAGGGATCCTGAAGTATATGATGGTGACGGAGGACAGTGGAACCCGCTGGCAGAAATGCCGGCTGGTTTTATACAAGGAAGGGCCTCCCGACCGCCAGAATTACACCTTGGCGCTATTGGACCCCCCCAAGGTAAGCGCTCTCTCTTCTTGCAAGTCCCTCTCCTCCTCCTCCTCGCTGCAGCGTGATCCCTCTCTTTCCTCAACATCTGTGAGGGAGACACACCCAATAAGTAACTGCTTCGTTCAGCAGGTCCGTTAAATGCCTGGAAATCTTGCTGACCCCCAACAAGGAGGCTTCCATGAGAAGCTTCAACGCTTTTTAAAAGCCGCTTGGAGAAATCGAGCGAAGTCGTGTGTTGGTAGTTACGGGCCAAACGGGGCCTCCAAGTTCAATCGTGACCCTTTGGGCAATAGATCTCAGGAATGAATGCTGGGGTGATGGGAGTCTTCGTGTTTAGATCTAAGGGTGGGATTTGGGATCTCTAGAACGAGACGGACGATTTCCCCCTTGTTCGCGTTTCCTCAGGGCTGTCTCTTTTATCTCAGAGTCTTTGCTCTTTGGAGATTTAACGGGGGTTTTGTGTGTGTGTGTGTGTGTGTGTGTGTGTGTGTGTGTAATAGATCTTCTGGATGGTCTCGACTCTTCAGGGCCTCTACATGGAACCAATGGACCCATCTGCTTTCAAAAGGCTTGATTTAACGCATCCGAGATCTTTTTAAAAGCTCCTGGTTTCACAACTCGTTCTTTCAGTTTGTTTTTCCTTTCGTCTTTTCCTTGTTTGGAGATTAGTACTTTAGTTGGATATCATGGCTGGAAGTGTATATTTTATTTTTTTAATTTATTGTCCCCCAATTCTGCTTCCTTAGCCGCTTTTGCCTGAGTGGACACCCAGATCAGTTGGAAGTCTGATGCCCCCAACAGTTGCCTTGGGGCCACTCATGGTGGGCAGGATCTTCCAAGGGTCCCTGCAGGTTTCCATCCCAACTTTCGTGGGACAGGGTGTGATTGCAAAAGGTCCTTCCCTGTCCTCCCCCTCCCCCGCTGAGCCAAGGACCCGAGGCCAGAAGCCAGGATGCTTCTTAGATGCCTCCCCCATCTAGGACATAAGCCGAAAAGCTGAAAAAAAATCTGGGTTTTCCCAAGCAAATAACAAAAACATGGAACTGTCCCCTCTCTTGCCTTCTGATTTTGACCAGCCCAGGGAGGTCAAAACCAGTTAGAGAGAAAATGGATGGTGAAAATGGATGGTTTTTATTTTATTTTTTTATTTTTGGAAGGCGGCCTCTGCTTCACCCACCTCTTCCAAAGCTCTTGCGATGGGAACAGAAATCCATTCATCCCTCCAGGCAGGCCGTGAATGGGGGATTCAGCTGTAGCTGGCGGAGGCTTGGCAGAAAACGGCACTCCGGGCTTGGGGGTTGCCCACCGTCTCTTAGCCCGGCCCTCCACCCTTCCCAAATGCTGAAACCTCAAAGTGCAAGTTTGACCGTTTATTGATTAGATTTTATCCGGCCTTTATCCCTTTACTCTCGTATTTATTTATTTTATTTGTGAATCCGGCCTTTATTACAGTTGGATTATCCCGAATAATATATTTCCCCCCCCCGCGGGGATTCCCCCGATTGCTCTTCACCCCCCCCCCCCCCCAATCCCTAAGATCAGAGGTCCCCAAACTTGGCCGCTTTAAGACTTGGGGACTTCCAACTCCCAGAATTCCCCCGCCAGCCATGCCTGCTTTTTTCTCTCTCTCTCTTAATCTCCTAAAGTGGAGAGAGATTGCAGAGGAAGGGATTGCAAGAGAGTTAAGCTCTGCTGGCTGGAGAATCCTGGGAGCTGAAGTCCACCAGTCTTAAAGTGGCCGAGTTTGGGGACCTCTGGCTAAGATGATAATTTTTTGTTTTACAAAACTTTCATTATATTGATATTTTAGCTGGGGAATTTGGGGCCTCGTCTTTCCTGGGAAAGAGCCCCTGGTTCATTGGGAGGGAGAACTTTTGCATTTCTCTGGAAGTGCCTTGCAAAGAGAGGAACCCACAGAGCCTGGGCAGAGGATTTCTGTGCGTGGATAAAAGTGCATGGATGGGTTGGTCACGTTCCAGAGCAGAGCCCGAAACGTCCCCCTCCTCGCCACCGAATCTGAGTTAGCACATTTTCTTTGAGAGACGAGGAAAAGAGGAACGTCTCTCTCTCTCTCTCACCAGTTCGAGGCATTTTCTTCGGGCGAAGGGTGGCTTTAAATACTACTTGATTGCACAACTCAAGTCTAGCAGAGTTTGTTTGTTTTTTGGTTTTGTTTCCCTTCTGTTTTTGGCCTTGAGGTTCTCCAGGATCAGAGCTAGAAAGTTTTAAGGTCTGGAACAGGAGCTTTGCCTGCCTCCAGCAGCATCTCTGGAGCCCCCAGCCCAGCCCCAGCCCCAAAGGCAGCTGGCGGAGGAGCCCCAAAAAGAGGCTGGACTCAGCCAGGCAAGGGAAACTTTCTTTCCCCTCCCTGGTCCTCCCCCCCTCAGCCGATTCAAGGTCTGGCTTGTTCGGTGTGTTTTTTTGTTTTTTTTTGCTAGCTTCCAATGCAGCATTTACAGCCAAGCTGAAATTCCCAGGAACATCTGCGTTTCCTATGGAAATATTTGCAGTTGTTTATGTCATGCAGATGTTCTGGTGAGAGGCAGGTTGGGGAGAGGGAGGGGGAGGAGGAGGAGGAGGAGGAGGAGGAAGATGCCTCCTCTTGAAGCCTGGTGGGAAGCAACTTCTTCACCCTGGGGGTCAGAGAGGACCGCTCTTCCTCTTCACCCCCCTCCCCACGAATTTTGGTGACCCCAATCCTTCCCTTTCTCACAGCAATTGGATTGTCTTCTTCAAAACACGGGTGTCCTCCTTTTGGGCACCATTTCCTAGCATCCTGGAGGCCCTCAAGGCCCACCTGGGACCCGGGAGGAACCTTCCTTGCGTGGTTGACTGCCCGATTTGCAAAGTTTGCAACTCTCTTGGATCTGGCCTGGTTTGCAGGGGTCGCCAACCTTAGCAGCTTTCAGATTTGTGGACTTCAGCTCCCAGAAGTCCCCAGACAGCAACAACCGGTGGACTTCAACTCCCAGAAGTCCCCAGCCAGCAACAACCGGTGGATTTCAGCTCCCTGAAGTCCCCAGCCAGTAACAACCGGTGGACTTCAACTCCCAGAAGTCCCCAGCCAGCAACAACTGGTGGACTTCAACTCCCAGAAGTCCCCAGCCAGCAACAACCAGTGGACTTCAACTCCCAGAAGTCCCCAGCCAGCAACAACTGGTGGAC